ACCAATAAACTTAATGAGAAAAAAAAATGAAAAAACCCCCAAACAAACAATAGGCAAACTTTGTAATATCACGTATCAACCACTCACACAGCATCTTACTTCCTAGAAATAATATTTAGTGTATTAGGTGTCACTAAAATGAATTATTTTTTATTTACAGAGAGAAACACCATTTGCTCTGGGTGATCCTGAATCATCCAGCCATGACAATGTCAGTTGTTGGATGTCAGGAGCAGATGATGTCAATGGCTAGACATCCTCAGTAGTTGAAAGATATTTTTCTTAAAAATAAAATCTTTTGGAAGGATATCGTGATGAAAAGTTGCCTCTCCTTTTAACTCTTTATGTTGCTTCTGCAGAGGTTGTGATCCTTCAGTGATCAATGGAGCATTCTATTTGCCAAAAATCGAAGCAGTGTAAGGGTCTCATCAAATCTCAGCAGGTTCTGGTGCCAGGGTTTTGACTTCCCAGCCTCCCAACTGTGAGCTAAATAAACCTCTATTCTTTGTAAATTAGCCAGTCTCAGGTATTCTGTTATAGCAACAGAAAATGGATCATGAAAGTGGATTACTGGTTTTTAAACACACACACATTGTGTTTTCTATGTATTCTATTTAGTGTTTTGAAATGTGATATGTTTTATAATAATATTTCTACCTGGCACAGAGACTGAATATTTCTACTAAAATACTACCCAGTTGAGAAATATGGATGTCCTGATCAAGACTCATAGTTGACTTGCCAATATGCATTTATTCTAAACTTACCATAGAACTTTTAATTTTATTGGGACCAAAACCCTTCAAGTTGGGCTTTTTGAGATTTTGAGGCAATTAAAACCAAAAATCTAGCATAGTTCATTGACATTATTATTAAATTGTCCTTAAACTTTAACTAAATCTTTTTTTATCATCCTAAAAATATTTTTAAAAATTTTATGTACCGTAAACTTAGTCTTTTTGTGTGTACAATTCTGTGAATTTTGTAACATGTAGATTCATGCCATCATTACAATGAACAGGGTGTAAGATAGTCTCATTACACCTAAACTCTCTTTGGTGATTTCTTTTGGGAGAATATCTCCCCATCCTTAACCCCTAAGAGCCACTGACCTTTTCTCCGCCATTAAAATTTTGCCTTTTACAGAATGCTCTATAAA